TAATGCCTACCAAAATGGCCTGGATTATGATTGCAGATAGAGTAGTTTATAATCGTAATTTTAACGTTTTAAAATATTTTAATGTATTTTAACTTTGATTTTAATTTAATTTAAATGTTTATTTTAATTGTATGTTGTTTTTAAGTCATTGAATTGTTGCCTATGTTGTAAGCCGCCTTGAGTTCCCTTTGGAGTCAAGAAAGGTGGGATATAAATATAGTAAATAAATAAATGCAAGGATATTCTTCTTCATACAGCATATAGAGGCAATTGGCTACTAAAGATTGTAATAAGAACACCAATTTGGCCAGAGAAGTTGGAGCAAGGCAGAAAAGATGGCTCTATCACCCCATCTACACTGCCATATAACCAGTTTCTGAATCCAGATTTTCTGCTTTGAGCTGGATTATATAGCAGTATAGACTCATATAACCCAGTTCAAATCTGGATTCAGAGACTGGATTATATGGCAGTGTAGATCCAGTCTATATTTATAGTCGTGATGTGTACTCCATCCACTGCCTGCCTACAAAGTGTTTTTGTGGGCATCCCATCGAAAGTACTGTAAACACAATGATGAATGAAATAGGTCACTGATTAAATTCATCGTGGGTAGGTTGCTATTTTGAATGCCATTTCCAATACAATTGTCAAATCCAAGTACAGAAACTTACAAAGAAATCAAAGTCAAAGTCTAAAAGGAGAAATGAGAATGTGCCCTGGACTTGGATGCCTTTACCTTGTAACACCTGCTTACAAAAACAATGGAGTCCTGGTGTGCTCTTTAAGGTTGCATTTCATTTGCTCTACTGACCTCTGACCTCTGGGGATTTCCGGTCATTGTTTTAGTGATCATCCATTTCTGTGCAAATTCGATCCAATCCAATTTACACGGAAATCAGATTGCAACTGTTTTGACGCTTTAAACATGTCTTCGGCTTAGAAATGGGGATTTATTTACTAGCCATCCCCTGCCACTCATTGCTGTGGCACAGTCTGGTGATTTGGAAAAGTAGAAGAGGGTTTTGGTTATGTTTTCTTGTCCTGGTGAAGGGAGTTGGACTGGCTGGTCTTAAGGCAGCATTTCTCATCCTGGTGGTCAGGACCCGGGGAGTCGTGGGGGGGGGGTGTCAGAAGGGTCGCCAAAGACCACCAGAAAACACAGTATTTTGTGCTGGTCATGGGGGTTCTGTGTGAGAAGTTTGGCCCAATTCTATCATTGGTGGGATTCAGAGTGCTTTTTGATTGGTGGTGAACTATAAACCCCAGCAACTACAACTCCCAAATGTCAAGGTCTATTTTCCACAAACTCCACAAGTGTTCCCATTTGGGCATATTGAGTATTCATGCCAAGTTTGGTCCAGATCCATTCATTGTTTGAGTCCACAGTGCTCTCTGGGTGTTAGGTGAATTATAACTCAAAACTCAAGGTCAGTGCCCACCAAACTCTTCCAGTATTTTCTATTGGTCATGGGAGTTCTGTGTGCTAAGTTTGGTTAAATTCCATCATTAGTGGAGTTCAGAATGCTCTTTGATTGTAGGTGAACTATAAATCCCAGCAGCTACAACTCCCAAATGACAAAATCAATTTTTTGAGTGATGGTCATTTGTTGGCCTGATAGGTGTATTGTGTCCCAATTTGGTATCAATTCGCCCAGTGGTTTTTGAGTTATGTTAATCCCACAAACGAACGTTACATTTATATATATATAGATTAGCTGTACCCGTCATGTGGCCAACCTTCCCTTCCTCTTTCTCTTATTTCTTTCTCTCCTTCCTTCCCTCCCTCTTTCCTGCCTTCCTTCCCTCTTTTTCTTTTTTTCTCTCCTTCCTTCTCTTCTTCTTCCCTTCCATCCCCCCATCTTTTCTTTCCTATTTTTCCCCTTTCTTCCTTTTCTACCTATTCTTGGACTACAACTCCCAGCAGTCGTCCTGATCAATCTATCAATCTACCTACCTATCTCTAGCTAATCTATCTACCTTGAGGAATCATGGGAGTTGCAGTCCAGGAATAGGAAATTGGAACTATGCAGGGATTGGGATGCTCTCAAAGAAATCCAAGAAGCAAGCTTGCAGCTTGGTAGCAGTGCATTTGGATCATCCTCCTCTCCTAAAGGGCCTGATCTAGGGGATGCTGGGAGCTGTAGTCCAGAAGAAAGTGTGGATATGCTATTGTGTGCTTTGTTTGCTAGGGGGAGTAGTTTTTGCAAATGTGCTGTAGCATCCTTTTGCTTTTTTGGCCTTTTAAGTCCCTTCCGCTGTGTTTTTCAGTGTTTTTATGAGTGATGGTCACTTGTTGGCCTGATAGGTGTATCATGTCCAAAATTGGTATCAATTCGCCCAGTGGTTTTTGAGTTATGTTAATCCCGCAAATGAACATTACATTTTTATTTATATAGATGGCATCCTTGGAGTGACTGGCTTGACCTTGAAGGAACTGGGGGTGGTGACGGCCGACAGGGAACTCTGGCTGGCCCATGAGGTCATGAAGAGCCGGAAGCAACTGTGCGAATGGACAACAACAGTTATGGAACTACTCTTCATGATACACTAAACAAAATTTCAACACACACACACCCTGAATTTTTTTCTGGCTATGGCACTGAGTTGAAGTACTTTGGCAATATCATGAGAAGACAACAAAGCTTAGGGAAGAGAATCATAGAATCATAGAATCAAAGAGTTGGAAGAGACCTCATGGGCCATCCAGTCCAACCCCCTGCCAAGAAGCAGGAATATTGCAGTCAAATCACCCCTGACAGATGGCCATTTGCAGTATAGTTGATTTTGCCCAGGGGCGCTCTTGGGGGAAAATAGACCTTAACATATGCGAGTTGTAGTTACTGGGATGTATAGTTCACTTACAATCAAAGAGCATTCTGAACTCCACCAATGATGGAATTGAACCAAATATGGCACACAGAACTCCCACGAACAGAAAATATATATCAGTGATTGGTTGGGGGGGGGGGGGGGTGCCAAAATACTGTTTGCTTACCTTTGAAAATTACCTAGGGCAGCCTCTAATATTGCATTCAAATCACCCCTGACAGATGGCCATCCAGCCTCTGTTTAAAAGCTTCCAAAGAAGGAGCCTCCACCACACTCCGGGGCGGAGAGTTCCACTGCTGAATGGCTCTCACAGTCAGGAAGTTCTTCCTCATGTTCAGATGGAATCTCCTTTCTTGTAGTTTGAAGCCATTGTTCCTTGTACTATTTATTTATTATTTATTTACTTTACTTGTATACCGCAGTTTCTCAGCCTAACAGGCGACTCAACGCGGTTTACAACAAGGATAAAAATCAAACAGTGATATACAATTTAAAACCCTAATAACATGGTATACAATATTGGCACAACAATAACAACCCAATACATCTCATAACTAGAGTCGTGATCCAATTCGTCGTCCATTTTTCCATTCCTGTATCATAACATTCATTGCACTGTTGATCCAAATGCCCGTTCAAACATCCAAGTTTTTAATCTTCTTCGAAACGCCATTAGCGAGGGGGCTGATCTAACCTCCATGGGAAGGGCGTTCCATAGCCGAGGGGCCACCACAGAAAAGGCCCTGTCTCTCGTCCCCGCCAGCCGCACCTGTGAAGCAGGCGGGATGGAGAGCAGGGCCTCCCCAGAAGATCTTAGGGTCCTGGCGGGCTGATAGGCAGAGATACGTTTGGATAGGTAGCTTGGGCCAGAACCGTTTAGGGCTTTAAAGGCCAACGCCAGCACTTTGAATTGGGCCCGGTAGCAAATCGGCAGCCAGTGGAGCTGGTGCAGCAGAGGAGTTGTATGCTCCCTGCGCTCCGCTCCTGTTAGTATCATGGCTGCCGAGCGTTGGACTAATTGGAGCTTCCGAGCCGTCTTCAAAGGCAACCCCACGTAGAGAGCGTTGCAGTAGTCTAAACGGGATGTAACCAGAGCGTGGACTACTGTGGCCAAGTCAGACTTCCCAAGGTACCATGGAATCTCCATGGAAGCAGAAAACAAGCTTGCTCCCTCCTCCCTGTGGCTTCCTCTCACATATTTATACATGGCTGTCATATCTCCTCTCAGCCTCCTCTTCTTCAGGCTAAACATGCCCAGCTCCTTAAGCCGCTCCTCATAGGGCTTGTTCTCCAGACCCTTGATCACCCTTGAATGATGCTGGGGAAAATGGAAGGAAAAAGGAAGAGGGGCTGACCAAGGGAGCAAGCTTGTTTTTTGCTTCCTTGGAGACTAGGATGCGGAACAATGGCTTCAAACTACAAAAGAGGAGATTCCATCTGAACATGAGGAGAGAACTTCCTGACTGTGAGAGCCGTTCAGCAGTGGAACTCTCTGCCCCGGAGTGTGGTGGAGGCTCCTTCTTTGGAAGCTTTTAAACAGAGAGGCTGGATGGCCATCTGTCAGGGGTGATTTGAATGCAATATTCCTGCTTCTTGGCAGAATGGGGTTGGACTGGATGGCCCATGAGGTCTCTTCCAACTCTTTGATTCTATGATTCTATGATTCTAAGATGGATGGATGGCATCCTTGAATGGACTGTATTGACCTTGGAGGAGCTGGGGGTGGTGACGGCCGACAGGGAGCTCTGGCATGGGCTGGTCCATGCGGTCACGAAGAGTCGGAAACGACTGAACGAATGAACAACAACAACAACAATGGCACCGAGGCCAGACATGGGAAAACTTAGCCCTCTCTCTAAGTGTTTTGGACTTCAATTTCCACCATCCCTAGGAATGGTAGGAAATGAAGTCCAAACTACCCGGAGGGCCTAAGTTTGCCCATGGCTGAGGAGCAGACTGAAGCCCAACCAAGGCTGAGGCGACCAACTTCTCTGTCAGTGCCAAATGGGCTACAAGCCGGGGTAACAGGGACGACAGTAAGAGGACAGGCTGGGACTGAGCCTCGCCAGCAACTCCCTCAGCAAACGGGGCTTTCCAGAAACGCCAGCCGGGCTGAGTTGCCTTTCCAGTCTGTCAGCGCCCACTCACGCGCTCCCTCACTCACTCACCCAAAAGACGGTGGAGTAGGTGACGAGGCTGAACTTGAGGCACAAGTAGGGGAAGCGGGCGCAGTAGCGGACCTGCGCCGAGTCTCCCGCCGCCATCCTCCTCCGCCAGCGCCCTTGCTTCGGGCGCCCTGCTCTCTCCTGCCTCTCTCCTGCCTGCCTTCCTTCCCGGCCAGGCGGGCCCCAAGCGGCGCGGGCCCTCGGAGGGAGGGAGGGAGGCTCTCGCACTGAGGGAGAGAGGGAGGGAGGGGCCTCGGGCAGCCGCCTTCCAGCCTGGTTTCGCCTGGAGCCTCAGCCCCGCAGAACAGGATCCACCACGTCCCTTCGGAGCTGCATCCGGGTCTCGGTATCCACAGGTTCAAAATACAGGCAGTCCCCAACTCGCAGCAGGTGTGCTCTGAACTTCTTTGTAAGTCGGAACAGGTACATTTCATTTGAGGGAACTCCAGCCATACACACACACACACCACACACACACAGAGATTGATAGATAAATTGATAGGTAGATAGATAGGTAGCTAGGTAGATAGATAGGTAGGTAGGTAGGTAGATAGGTAGGTTGGTAGGTAGGTAGATAAATAGATAGGTAGCTAGATAGGTAGGTTGGTAGGTAGATAGTTAGGTACATAGTTAGGTACATAGGTATATAGGTAGGTAGGTAGGTAGATAGATAGATAGGTATATAGGTAGGTAGATAGATAAGTAGATAGATAGATAGATAGGTAGGTAGGTAGGTAGATAGTAGGTAGGTAGATAGGTAGATAGATAGTAGGTAGATAGATAGGTAGGGTAGATAGATAGGTAGGTAGGTAGATAGATAGGTAAGTAGATAGATAGGTAGGTAGGTAGGTAGGTAGATAGGTAGATAGATAGGTAAGTAGATAGGTAGGTAGGTAGATAGATAGGTAGGTAGATAGATAGGTAAGTAGATAGATACATAGGTAGGTAGATAGATCGATAGATAGATAGATAGGTTGGTAGATAGGTATGTAGGTAGGTAGATAGATAGGTAGATAGATAGGTAGGTAGATAGGTAGGTAGATAGGTAGGTAGGTAGATAGATAGGTAGGTAGATAGGTAGATTAGATAGGTAGGTAGGTAGATAGGTAGGTTGGTAGGTAGGTAGATAAATAGATAGGTAGCTAGATAGGTAGGTTGGTAGGTAGATAGTTAGGTACATAGGTATATAGGTAGGTAGGTAGGTAGGTAGATAGATAGATAGATAGATAGGTATATAGGTAGGTAGATAGATAAGTAGATAGATAGGTAGGTAGATAGGTAGGTAGGTAAGTAGGTAGATAGGTAGGTAGATAGATAGGTAGGTAGAGTAGGTAGGTAGATAAATAGATAGGTAGGTAGATATAGGTAGTTAGATAGGTAGATAGATAGATAGATAGATAGATAGATAGATAGATAGACAGACAGACAGACAGGTAGGCAGACAACTACATGGATGGGTAGGTAGGTAGATAGAGTAGGTAGGTAGATAGATATAGTAGGTAGGTAGGTAGGTAGGTAGGTAGGTAGATAGATAGATAGATAGATAGATAGATAGGTAAGTAGATAGGTAGGTAGGTAGATAAATAGATAGGTAGGTAGATAGGTAGGTAGGTAGGTAGGTAGATAGATAGATAGATAGATAGATAGATAGATAGACAGACAGACAGGTAGATAGATAGAAAGATAGGTATGTGTAGATAGAAAGATAGGTAGGTAGGTAGGTAGATAGATAGATAGATAGATAGATAGATAGATAGATAGATAGACAGATAGGTAGGTAGGTAGGTAGGTAGGTAGGTAGATGTAATGTTCGTTTGTGGGACACACATAACCCAAAAACCACTGGACAAATTGACACCACATTTGGATACAAGACACCAATCTGGCCAATGAATGACCATCTTCTTCTATATATAAATAAAAATGTTATGTTCGTTTGTGGGATTAACATAATTCAAAAACCACTGAACAAATTGACACCAAATTTGGACATAATAATAATAATAATAATAACCTTTATTTGTACCCCGCTACCATCTCCCGAAGGCCGTGCCCAAATACAATAGCACTGGGATTGTGGCACAGCAGGCTGAGTGTCAGCTGCATTAAGGTCATGAGTTCAAAGCCAGCCTGGGTTGGAGTGGGTTTCCAACCAATTGTGTGTAGCCTGTTGTCGACCTTTGCAACCCGAAAGACAGTTGCATCTGTCAAGTAGGAAAATAAGGTACCACCTTAAAGTGTGGGGAGGCTAAATTAATTGATTTATGAGGCCATAAAGAAGACTCCAGCAAAGCATTCCAGCGGGGAAGCATGCGGGGAATGCGGAAGTGCTTCATCAGCGTCGCAGATGGACGATGAAAGCGACAGCTCCCCTGGCGGCCAGAAAAAGTTAAATAGCCTCTGTGTATGTCTGTATATGTTTGTATGTCAAAAATTGGCATTGCATGTTTGCCATATATGTGTACACTGTAATCCGGCCTGAGTCCCCTGCGGGGTGAGAAGTGCGGAATATAAAAGCTGTAAATAAATAAATAAATAAAAACAACAGCAACAACAAACAACAAAATAACTCAAAAAAACAAAGCAATAACTTTAACAACACACAATGACGCAATTAAAATCAATGGCAGGGCCAAATGTAATAATTAAAATTAAAAAGTGCTGGGCGTGACCAGGTGGGGTGTTTGGAGGGGGATGGGCATGCAGATATCCTAGATCTCTGATAAAGTGCGTTGGGACATAATGCTAGGAGTTTCCTTATTCTGGGAAGGCACACTGGAACAACCACATTTTCAAGCTCCTCCTAAAGATTGCTAGCGACGGGGCCTGCCTGATGTCCTTAGGGAAAGAGTTCCAGAGTTGAGGGGCCACCACCGAGAAAGCCCTATCCCTTGTCCCCACCAATCGCGCCTGCAATGCAGGTGGGATCGTGAGCAGGGCCTCTCCAGATGAGCGAAGAGATCGTGTGGGTTCGTACACAGAGATACGGTCACTCAGGTAGGCGGGTCCCAAACCATTTAGGGCTTTGTAGGTAAGCACCTGCACCTTGAATTGGGACCGGAAAATGAATGGCAGCCAGTGGAGCTCCTTAAACAGGAGGGCTGACCTCTCCCTGTAAGGAGCACCAGTTAACAACCTGGCCGCCGCCCGTTGGACCAATTGAAATTTCCGGGCCGTTTTCAAGGGCAGCCCCACATAGAGCGCATTACAGTAGTCCAATCTGGAAGTGACTAAGGCATGGACCACCCTGGTCAGGTCTACCTTCACGAGGTATGGTCGCAGCTGGTGCACTCATAAAAACACTGAAAAACACAGTGGATGGGATTTAAAAAGCCAAAAAAAGCAAAAAGATGCTACAGCGCATGTGCAAAACCACACACACACACATATATATACACGTAGATAAAGGTAAAGTTTTCCCTTGACATAAGTCCGACTCTGGGGGTGGTGCTCATTTCCACATGTGTATATACACATATACACAAATATACACACCTATAAACACACAAAACACATATACACAGACAGCAACGTGTGGCAGGAGACAGCTAGTTACTCATAGAAACACTGAAAAAACACAGCAGAAGGGACTTAGAAAGCCAAAAAGTTTAATACATTACATAATATGCATAACCACATAAATACACATATATACATATATACACACACACATATACACACACAAAACACATATACACAGACTGGGCCACAGCAACACGTGGCAGGGGATGGCTAGTATATACATAAAAATGTAATGTTCGTTTGTGGGATTAACAGAACTCAAAAACCAGTGGGCCGATTGACACCAAATTTGGACACAAGGCACCTAACAACCCAATGTATGTCCTTCACTCATAAATTTTGACTCATGATATTTTAGAGTCACGCTTTTTAAAAAGAAGTCTTTCCACTTTGAAACTTTTCCCTATCTCAGGCTGATTCATTTTATTTAGATTGGTAATGTCTTTCCTGACCAAACAATCTGAAGATCTCAAAAGCTTTATCCCTGAGTACAGGTTTTGGAATTTATCTAAACAAAGATCTTTCCTGCATTGTTTTACTTTTTGCAATTGACCTGATACTCACTAAAGGGTGCCAGGAACACAATAGTTTCTGGGAATGAGGTAGCATAGGAGTGACTCAAATGGACAAACATGTTGTAAACATTAAGAAAAAAGATGCTCCTGAACCCAGGTTCAGAAGAAAAATGATCTCTCAGATTTTCCACTTTTCTGTCTGAATGACCTTAACCTAAACTAACTGGTTTAGAGTAAGCCTAGATGGGAAAGGATGGCTTTGATCCCAAAGAGAGCTCCTTTTGACTTGGCAGTGCTATCCAAACATCATAGAAAGCAAACCCTCCAGGGGAAAAAAAAATCCCGTATTGGTATAAAAGAGTGTAGGGCATATGGGTGTGTTTCCAGCCACCCCAACCTTCTCATCCTGCTTTTCTCCATATCTTTCTAATACATTTAAGGGCCATGCAATTCCAATAAATCCCATATGGAAGGGGGGAGGGGGAGAAAAAAACTTCTATGGAGGAGGGAACAAGCTTGTTTTCTGCTGCCCCGGAGACTAGGACGCGGTACAATGGCTTCAAACTACAAGAAAGGAGATTCCACGAGAACATTAGGAAGAACTTCCTGACTGTGAGAGCTGTTCAGCAGTGGAACTCTCTGCCTAGGAGTGTGATGGAGGCTCCTTCTTTGGAGGATTTTAAACAGAGGCTGGATACTATCTGTTGGGGGTGCTTTGAATGCAATTTTCCTGCTTCTTGGCAGAGGGTTGGACTGGATGGCTCATGAGGTATCTTCCAACTCTATGATTCTATTCTAGTGTTTACCATCACTTAGACATTAACGAAAGCAAGTTAGAAACTACAAAAAGTTGTCCTGAAGAAACCAAAAACAAAATGGTGCAAGAGTAACAAGTAAACATACCGTTCTCTTTAAAGGACATACCGTATTTTCCGACATATGAGATGACTGGGTGTATAAGATGACCCCCAACTTTTCCTGTTAAAATATAGTGTTTGGCAATGGAAGACTACCCCTCTTCCAATGCACACCAAATAAAAATTTTAAAAGCATCAAAGTTGATTTCAATATGGCAATTTTCCTATTACTGTACCTCCTTCTATGCCTCTCAGATCTTGCACCTGCGCGCCTGCACCCCTTCACTGCAGTCTTCAGGAGCGAGATCTAAGAGGCAGAGGAGGTGGTACGGTAATAGGATACAAGGGCCAGACAGGTAAAAGAAGTATGGCCCCAGAGCAACTCTATCTCTTTTTTCCATATCCTGGCACCCCGGATGCCTGCAGCTTGCTCCGCCCTTCACTTACACCTTCCTGGTGAGGCGCCCCTTCACCTCACCATCGGGACTGCATTAAGTCCACGAATCCTGATGAAAGGATTTTTTTCTACCGTACTTGTACAGCGTCACCCTTAATGCTTTCATACAGTCACTGCATACGGCAGAGACATGGCCACTGCCATTTTTGAGCTCCCCCCACCATATGCGGCAACCACAGATTCTCCAAATTTTCCAGATCACTAGACTGGGCCACAGCAACGTGTGGCAAGGGACAGCTAGTACTAAATAATAATAGAAGTAGCAATAAGAACTATAACATTAATGATAAAGAATTCACAATAGCTAGCCCATTGTAAAAAACTTCAGGCTTCAAGATTTTAAAATGTGAATTATTGCGTGGGCATTAATTAACAAACATGGACAGAATATATGCTTGGTATTAACCTAGATGAGAAAGAGTACCCTATCACTGGCAAGTCCTGAACAAGAAAGCTATTTTCTTGTGGGAGAATAGCTCATTGACATTGCCAACAACTGCTGGATTTGTTCTTGCCCATTTGCCAACAAACAAGGGAATGAATGAAGGAATTGAGGATAAATGACTCATGTTAGCAGAAGCTGTGAAATGTGTGCGCTACTGCAATTAAGATATTTCAATGTTTCTAATGTTTTCTTTCACTTTGAGTTAAGCATCTCATGTAATCCTAGGAAATTTTCAATTTTTAAAAAACCCACCTGTGTTAAATAAGCGTTTTTATGTAACTTGTTTATGGTATTCTAACACCACTGGGTCACTAGCTAAGTGTATGTTGGGTTGTTGTGAGTTTTCCAGGCTGTATGGCCATGTTCCAGAAGCATTCTCTTCTGATGTTTCACCCACATCTATGGCAGGCGTCCTCGGAGTTTGTGAGGTCCGGCCATGAAAGCCTTCGGCAACACATTAAGTGTATGCTACTTTTTAATAAAATTTTCCATCGTGTAAAAATTATTTAAAAATGTGATTAGACTTCCTACATGTGACCTTTCAGTGAATTTTCTACTAAGAGTAGAACAGAAATTTTATGCTCGCCAAAGAAGAGCTCAATCCCCTTATAAGGATCTAACAGTAAATTGTAGCACATCTCTTTCATACATACCCTTTTGTCTAAATATTTATCCATCTTCTAGAGCCTCGAGAGCTCTCAAGTTGTGAAACTCCCTCCACAAAGAATGTGACTGCATAAATTCAACCCACCAGAAGACTCTTATAGATGTGATGCAGTAATTTACAACAACTGGACGTTGGATTAAATGGAGTAGTCATTTAATAAAGTTGGGTCCAATGAGGTCCTGTCTTTGGCCACACACAGAATTTCCAACATTTCTGTTCTTTTCGTTTTTTGAGGAGGTCTAAACACTGTATGCAAAAAGCTTAAAGATGGTTTACATCATTATCTGCCATGCTGTAGGCATTAACATTCAAGTGTTCAATTCTTCAATTTGTTTAGCCATTAAAAACTTGCTTACATGAATCAGCTTGAGATTACAATCCTTTAAAGCTCTCCAGTTTTGGAATTCATCCATGGTTTCAAGCACCTCTTAAGTGAGACTGTAAGTAATCCTACACATTATTCACCTTAACTCAGAGTAATAATAAATAGTGCCCACGTTCATGTTTACACATCTTTGGCAAAGAATATATTGTGATTTTTTTTCTCTCTTTAATTTTTTGATTGAAAAAAACATATTTGAACAGATAATAATTGTCTATTGTAGGCATACATTATAATAGCATATTTCTATATTATCTATTCTCATTCTTTACGAGATGCAGAGCCAATATTAAGAAATGAGGCTACAAAGTGGAATCCACAACATGCGAGTGTGGAGAAGAGCAAACTAAAGACCACCTGCTGCGATGCAACCTAAGCCCTGCTACATGCACAACGGAGGACCTTCTTATAGCAACACCAGAGGCACTCCAAGAGGCCAGCTACTGGTCAAAGGACATTGAATAGAATACCAAGTCTGCAAATTTTGTGTTTTGATTGTTTGTTTTCCTGTTTTTTAATGCAATACAACTGTTTTGGTTTGCTCCTGACACAGTAAATAAATAAATAGCCCCAGAAAACCCAGTGGCCTTTGGGTTGCCATAAATCAGAAGTTACAATGACAACAACAAGGCATATTTACTACTGGGACTAGCCCTCTGGCTTTGTAGAGTAAAAGTAGGGAATAAAACCTTTGTTTTATTCCCTACTTTGTTTTATTCCCTACTGGTTCAATTCGTTCCTCCGGGACCGGAGACAGAGGGTGGAGTGGTTAGGCCAAAGCTCTGAGGGCTCCTGCCTTTGCTGTGGAGTTCCCCAGGGTGCTATCCTCTCGCCCCTGTTATTTAACATCTACGTCCGACCACTTGCTGGACTGGTGCAGAGTTTTGGCATAGAGTGCTACCAGTATGCAGATGATACCCAGCTATTCTTGCGTCTCGTACCTGGGACAACCCCGATTCCTGAGAACTTTAGGCTGTGTTTGGAAGCAGTGATGAGTTGGCTGCGAGCGAGCAGACTAAAAGTGA